AGGCTTAACAAATCTTATGATATGGATGTCAAAGTCCTCTATGCAAAAAAGAAAAAAGGCCTCAATAATGCTCTTTCAGCTAGCTTGCTGGTAACAAAATCTCCCTCTCTACCTCTCACAAGAGAGGAGAAAAGGAACAAAAAAAGAGCCTCTACACCCATCTGTACTTCCATTCTATACAGATGGAAAGGATCAACTTTAGCTATCTTCCATATTTTGGGATCACAGAGACCTCACAGATGAAGTTGTTCATTTGTGATCATAACTGAACTTTTATAATGTGAGCCATTGGACCTTTCCCTGAATCCTCCAGAAATTCACACTTAGGTGTGAAGTCAGCCCATGAACTAAGCTGCAGCTATGATTGGTGACCTGACCAATCATTTATCAGTGGTGCCCCGAGGTGAATTTAACTAAAAGTATATTCTATTGTTAAATAATAGTAATCTATCCATCCATCCATCGTCAACTGCTTATCCTGTGCACAGGGTTGCGGGTAAATAATAGTAATAATAATAATTATTACATTATTTAATATAAACATTGGTGCCATTTAAACCCAGATCTCCAACACTTGATAGCTCCAATATGATACAAACATAAGGCACATACAAGACATTGTATAAGGCTCGGCTTATCCAGGTCAAATGTGAAGCACATGTTAAGAAAATTCCATGATAACTAAATAACAACAATAACAATAACACTACTATTACAAAGTGCAACCATTGGCGTAACAGCTGGATTCTACCAGGCACCTCTACATCAGGTTCTGGCTGCGCGAAGGTTTTGTTCCACCTTTGCACAGCTTTACTGTAAATCCCACCGGAAGAGGGCCTGTTTGATGTTGTTGACCTGTTGAACATGTTTTCCTGGTTCTACTACCAGGCACACCTCTCTAATGGTTTGTTCCGTCCTCTGCACGGCTTCATACACCACAGGGAATGTTTCAGAAGCAGAGTGCCTGCCTGCCTTTTCTTGTCTGTTTTAATTGTGTTTCTTGTTGATATATGATTGGGAGTCTGCACAGGGTGTTTTATTTTGAAAATTGACCGGAGTCTCTATGATGTTTCCTTGTCTGACTTCCTGCCTGGTTTGATCTGCTCTGTGCAGCTTGACACTTTTTCCATCAAAAATAGACTAGGCATGTATTGTTCGCGGAGCAAAGCCAAGGACGCTTCAAGGATGTTTCTGAAACAGGCTGTGGCACATCTGGTGGAATCACAAGCATTGTCTAGAATCAGTCGTGCCTGGTAGGATCCAGCAGTTAGGGTCACACTGGATGTTCTGCAACAGTTGCTGTGGTAAAATAAAACAGGTGCAAACTGTCTGAGGTTGAAACAGACTTCTTATTTAATTCCCAATCTTTGTGTCCATTCCTCATTGTTAAGTTATTGTCCTATATGTTTATCAAAGTTTCATGGGGTTTCAAAGGGGTGAGGCATGACCAAATTTCACGTAACTGGACAGTGCACATGGACATTAGCTAACAAGTTAACTATAATGCTAACAGACAACTTAGGATAACTTGTAACTAGCCATAATATGATCATGATAATTTTAGACACTAGTGCTAAATACCACTTAACTAACTTAGCAAGCATTCATAACTTAAACATATGTAATCATGCACAACAGTTTGCATTCACCTGTGGAGACTAGTTCCCAGACTCCATGATGTGGTGTCCCATGCTCTTAATTGTAGACTGCGCAAATGCAGTGTTTGCACTAAGATATCATTATAATAAATCATACCCTCTAATCTACGCTCATATTATTGGCTGAAATGGAAGGTGACATCTGATTGGCAGGGGAGTCTCAAAAAATCTACACATGACAGGCAGTTTTGTAGTAAAACAGCGTGGGTTCAGCAATGCCCCTAACCCAGTCAGAGATTGGGAGGTGAATGTTTTGGAGGAGATCAAAGCCTTGCTCGGCTCCTTTTGAGATCTCAGATTAACCTTCTAATCTGACTGTCCCTGGATTTAGAAGGTGCATTAACACCCTTCACAGACCTGGTACCATATCTCCGACTCCTCTGTGAGTTAGGTGTTTGTCACGACAACAAGATTAACAGCACAGCTGGGAGACATAAAGACCTTACGGAACTGACTACAAGCTCATTAACATACAACTGTAAACAATTTAGCTAATATTATTCAACCTGTATGCTGGTGTATGACAGTCCAACTATGGTATCTGTACGATGTGTGATGTCTGAACTGTTTCATGAATTAATCCAGTTTTGTCATGTGACCATCCGGTCATCTAGTGGTCAAGTATAATATCGTCTCTTTTGTTTTGATGTCAGCCATATCTAAAAACGGTCTTATAAACAGTGTGTTGGAATGACTTGTTATTTAGATTTCTCCCAAAGTTTCAGAAATTGTGTATCAGAGCGAAAGTATTTAGGAATGCCATAATTGAGTGATATGTGAATATATGACCTGTTTGCTATACTGTAAAATGTTTAGCACAAAACATGATAACATACCACTGACCCCATAGTTATGGTTGAAAGAACGAATATGTGGTTAGTGCATGTATGATGTGTATTTAAACAAATTCATAAATAGAAAAACTACACATGTCTCTGAGAGAAAGGGCCAGAGAAAACACAACACTTGGCGTGAAGTTTGGTTTCTCCACTTCTGATACACACCTTTAATAAGTGCATATAAAACCGGAAGAGACTCTTTTTGTCCTCTTCCATTTTTGCTCTCTGTAACCAAAGGAGCAATATGCCTTTTTAATCTCTATCTTTTTCGTCAGAGAAATCTTCTTTTCAAAGTTTTCTTACCTCGCCTTCATTGCGGGTATTATAACTTAAAGCAAAGTTTTTGTGAAGACTTTTGTATTTCCGTAAGTATCACTTAAATTAGTTTCGATCAGCAAACAACTACTACTTACCATGGACCAAGAACAGTATGTACTCATGTTGTCATCTGCTAAGAAGCAGCCCTTTGCAATAAGACCTACCAGGTAACTGCCAGTGACATTCGAGGGACCACTGGAACAAAACTGCTGTCTAACCTGACCAGTTCCATCACCATCGTCTTCCCGTGGACATCGTCCATCGTCTTGGAAGGACCTGAAGTGCATCGTAACCTGGTGACAGTTTGTGGCCCCCCCTGAGGGTTTTGCTGAGAAAGCGGCAAAAAGTAGGCAAATATTCTACATCCTGTAAAAAGAGTTGATGTCAGATTGCTCTGAAGCTTAGATTTAGATCTTACAGAAATTAGACCCATGACATGAATCATTCTTCCTCCCTGATAACTGAACCAAGTACTCTATCTATCGCCAAACAGAACAATAATATAAAATTTCCATGTCCCCTGTCCCCTCCATCTGTTTAACCTTGATTTATTACAGTATAATTGTTGGTAATAATCATTCACCTGTAAACACTTTCAACTAGTAATAAATGTTTTCACTTATCACCAAGTTTTGTCTGTAAGTATTCCTTAAAAGCAGAAATAACGATCCCTGTGTTTGAGAAGTCATGATTCAGGTAATACAACTGATAAATATGTGTCACAGAAATACATATGTGAACGTTATTTTTTTTTACATGTGTATATACTTTTGTACATTTCTATACACAATAAACATTTAAGCATTGAAAAATATTTTTGTGGAGAGTCATTTCTATAAAAATCCCGAAATACATTTGAGAATGCTTCTGTTTGCGTTCATTAATATCGAGACCCATCTTATTACATAGACCAGCACAGTTCTTATTTTAGAATTTGGGAATGATTATCTGCTTTTACAGGCACTTATGAAATATGACCACATTACTCCTATTTTAGCTTCATTACACTGGCTCCCATTATGTTTTAGAATTGACTTTAAAATTCTATTGATCACTTTTAAAGCTCTTCATGGCCTCTCGCCTTGTTATATTTCTGACCTTTTAGTCCCATACACACCAGCACGTACCTTGAGATCCTCGGGCAGAGGTCTGTTGTCTGTTCCAGAGTCTCGACTGAAAACTAAAGGGGACAGAGCTTTTGCTGTCAGGGCCCCGAGGCTCTGGAACAGCCTGCCCGAGGAAATCAGGTCGGCTGAGTCAGTGAACTCTTTTAAGTCCCTTCTTAAAACATACTTTTATAGGAGAGCCTTTCCCGATCTTATTTGACTTTATTTTATCCCTTTTATTGTATTTTACTAATTTTATGTTAATTTTTCATGCTCTTATCTTATTTTTTTTGTATTATTCTTTACACTTGTTAAAGCACTTTGTAACTTGTTTTTGAAAAGTGCTCTACCAATAAGGATTATTATTATTATTATTATTATTACATCTGCGTACAATCAGCGTAGAAGTGGAAATTAATTCTGTGACTACATGAAATTTGGCCAAGAGGTGAAGGAAACACAGTCTTACCTAATTGTTCTTTCAGCTAATAGAAGCACTGAGGTGGAATCCAAATTCATAGTAAGCAGAAGATCATTAAGAACTTTAATAAGTGCAGTTTCAGTGGAGTGACAGGCCATGAAAGCATACTCAAAAGGTTCAAAAAGATTCCTGTTAAATATGTGGGATAAAGTTCCTGAGACACAACTCTAATACTTTTGAAAAGAATGGAAGGTTAGAGACTGCTCGATATTGATTTAGATCAAAGTTTGGTATCTTAAGTAATAATTCAACCATAACAGTGTTAGAGCTAGTGAGGACAGTTCCAGTTTTTAGTGACAGATCAGCAATATTCAGCACTGTGGGACCCGAAAATGGCCCAAGATCTTTGAAATGTTTAGCTGGAAGAAAGTCCCAAACCACTACAAAGAGTAGTAAGGGCAGATGTGTGTGTCAAGGAGAAATCTAGGGTTGTGTATATTGTTACTGGTTTAGTGATAGAAACAGGCTACTTTGGCAGCAGACAGAGCACACTTCCAATTCTGATTAATGTCATTTGCATTCCGATCTCCTGCAGGCCTGCTAAAGAGCATGTGTTTTTCATGTGGCTTCCATGTTATTTTTGTTTGTTTCTCTGCAGAAATGTTTATTAAGTAAAGGTCTGGAGTCTCTGGTGGAGCCCTCTGTGCAGCTGATGAGGAAGTGTCTTCCCGGAACTCCACTACCACTGACATCAGATCAGTCTGCATACAAGTTCCCCCTGCCTGGAAGACCACATGTCCCTGATATGGATGTGGCACCAGGTACAGTATCAGCATTCACTTCATGTCCAGATTTAGCAGAAGCACCTTTGATAGCATAGCATCCTAAATGTAACATACAATTCAGTGCTTTTATTTGGGGAATATTTAGATTTTAGCTAGTTATTGCAACCAGACCGGCTGACTGATCACACTGGAATAATAAATATTGATAAAACTAAGAATGAATGGTATCTGATAAAGTGCATTTGCATTTCCTGGCCTGTTGTGTTGTTTGGATGTGCATTTTTGATGAATTATTAAATCAGTTTCACCATGGCCCAAAGTGCTTAACAAAATGTAACCTAAGAAAACACAAGCAAATACACAAACACACTGTAAATCACGCATACATACATACTGGCTGCTCTGCTTTCTCTATTTTATCCAGATGACAGCAGTGAGGAAAGTGATGAGGAGGAGGATGAAGATAACCAAGAGGCAGACAGCAAAGACTATGTAAGTTTTTTTGTGTACTTTCAGTACTTTTAGTATGCGTTGTCTATGGGGGCCAGTGCTATCGTTAGTAGAGAAAAAGCACTTATGGTTTTCATTACTCTTTTAAATGAATTGCATATTCTAAAAAAGTTGTTAATCAACTGCTACTAAGTTCTTGACCATAAACAGTGACTGTAATACTTCATACACACAAACCATGTAATCAACTTCTTAGTTTTAGTTTAGTTTAAACTGCACACTCAGCTATACTAAACATCAAAACATTAATAAATGCATGAATGAAGCTGCTGGGGATCACTGTAGGGGCAGGTTTAGTTATACTTAATAATCTCAATACTTTAAGCAGTTCCACAGAATTTCTGTGGTGAGGAGAGATCCTACTTATGACCTAACATTTCTTAATTAGTCTTAATGATCTCTAGCATCAGCCCCAGTATCACCAGAAAACACCCACTCACTTCCACCACAGACTTTACTGCCATCCAAATCTCATGTCTTTTGCAATTTAATTAATATTTGTTTAAAAAAATCTGTTAATTTAAGTGATTTTTTGGTGCCTCTCCCTTATTTACCATGGCCCATGATTAGGTTCTGCAAAGCCCTGCCTACGCTGCCGTCTCCTGGGGCTATTAGGCCTGTGATCAGTTTATGCTAATGACTTAGTGTTTGTGCCAGCTTAAATACCAGGGGGCTATACTAAAAAGCAAGTTACACATACACAGGACGTCTTTTCATAATCTGGCTTCACTAACAACTGCGGTCAGGCTAAGCGATCACACGATACTGGTTATCAATCTGACAGCAGCAGGTTTGCAGCAGACGACCAGTCATCAACATGGACAAGCATACTGGTAGCAGAGCGGCATATTATACAAACCAAGAGCAAACTATAATATTAGACAAATAGTGTGAAAAGCAACACAGCTGCAGCTGTCACTTGCAAGAAGACAGAAATCTCCGACTGAATGTGTAAGTTAATGCCATAATCTCAACCACAGCTTCAGTTCCCATCATTTACTGAAAACTCACCACATTACTTGTGCGGCGCCCAAGTAGCAAAAGGTGGGGCAGTGTCTCTATAAACCATCTCCACATCACCAACAGCAAACATAAAAGTAGCCTTTAAAACAGTCAGCCAGATCTCCTACAGATGGTGATTTAATTTTCCAACATGGCTGATTAGTCAGTTGGTGGTGCTTTAATAGCGTTGATCTCTTATCTGGAACATAACCTGCCCTACTACTATATAGTGGACTATATAGTGAGCTCGCCGTTTTGTAGCGCTGTCCAAATGTACAGTGATAATTATTATGCCCTATATAGTCAGCTCAATGTATCCCAGAATGCATTTTGAAAAGTAGTGTTCAACCGATGGTCACTAACCAAGCCGTATATACCATCATGCATTGCGCTGATAGAAAAAACTGATTGTCTGACGGCAATGACGTAATTAACGGTGCCGAAATAACAATGGGAGTAGTGTCCGAAAGTGTTGTTTTAATAATGTAAGTGAGCTCACTATATAGTGCTCTACATTCAACTCCCTACATAAGGAGTAGGTAGTAGTGAGTGAGAGGGGATTTCGGACACAGTCACTGTTAACTCTGAAGTTACCCTGCTAACCTCACATCCTGCTTCTTAATACAGGCTCCAGGTCGAACCAAAATCATTTTGCCAAATAGTTCTCTTTAAAAAACTTAATCCTAACCAAATTTGCGTCATGATAATTTTGAACCCTAATAATGTTTGCAACTACAGTCTCTTTTCTGTAGATATGATGACAAAATTAAATTTTATAGGATATCATTCCATCCACCAAATGCAGAATCCTGAAGGGCAGGGAGTACCAGAGAGGAAAGGAACATAGATCCTGGCTTGGAAAGGATGGAAGTAGGGCAGGGAGAGAAGAGGTAGAGAAAGATGAAAAACAAGATGGGATAGAGGAATAATTAAAGGGAAAATAGAGTGTAGGCGGTCCCAGTTTAGAGCGAGAGAGTCTTGGGAGAAATGGATGGAGAGGAGCTGTGGGGGCCGTGGATAAAAGAAGATGGGACAGATGAATACAGCAGATGAAAAATCCAAAGAACAGAGGAGAATTTAAAATGAGAAAGCAGAATCTGAGGAGGCAGAGGGAGTGACAGACACTACAAAAGCTGAGGTGGAGAGATAAGAAGAGAAATGGAAGCTGGAATGATGGTGGAAGTGGAGCAGAGTGTGAGGCACAAGAGATATGGATGGAAACAACAATGGAGCAAAAAGAAGAGAAATTAGAACAAAGGCTCAGTTAAATAGATTTGAACCCAAAAGCATGACTGTGAGACCAACTTAATAATAAAATAAAAAAATTCAAGTTTACTCAAGGTCAAAACCAGATAGGCAGGAGAGGGGAGGAAAATCTCTCCACTAGGGGACCAGACTAGAGAAGGCAGACGGGATCATAACAAGCAACGCTCAGGCAGGCAAAGAACATAGCAGAGCACAGTAGATGATCTGGTGGAGATGAACGGACGTGGGCTGGTATATGCTCCCGATGGAGAAGTGAGAACAGGTGTGCAGGTATGTGGGGGGGTACAAATAATAATGTTTAAAGGTATGATCAATATGTCAATATCGACATGCTGAACATCGTTAGACCGGTTACATTCTCCACAATACCACTGTTAAGTTTGTTTAACGGAAACAACAAGACCCAAAGTCTAATTCTTCTAGATTTACTGGTGTAACCTGCATAGATACAAGAGAGGAAAAGGGGAAAAAGTGCTGACTCTCGTTAACTTTGAAGCGCTCGTTAAGTCCGTTTATATTCCTTTAGTCTGTAAGGGTCCACCCATCAAAAGAATCAAAACAGCTTTTCAGAAAAATGTATCCAAGTTGTAAATCCTGTCATGTGAAGTCCATCGCTCTCTGTCTGCTAATTTCTCTCATCCTGCACCATGTTGCTGTTTTCGTGAGGTTACGGCCTTCAAAATAAAAGCGCATAAGCCGTCTGTCGGAGCTAGAACAAATGAATGACGTGTATTTGATATTATTTGATAATTTTTTCATAAGTATTATTCTGTTTGAAATAATTAAACTGTTTCATAGTAGTTTCAGTTTTGTGCATAAAGAATTAAAGGCCTGTCCCATATGGACACCTGTCCCAAATAAGGGCAGGGTCAATTCAGTGATTTTAGCAAATAAAAGCCGGGCTATTATTCAAGTAGCTACGTTACTAGTTAGGTTACTATATTACTGTACAGTGTTTCCGATCATTCCGATCAAATCATTTTTGATTGCTCCTCAATCAAAAATTATTTTAAATAGCCTACACCCAGTAAAAAAATTCTATCAAATAATCAATATGTGGCAGTCTGCGTTGATAATTATCCAAATTATAGGCTAATTATGGGAAACGCTGCTTTCACTACCACTACTTTCATCACCCCCAAACAAAGCAGTCTCTCAAGACTTTTTAAATAATATCATATGAAGAACTGCAGCAAGGAGTGTGGTTTTTACAAAGCATATAGCCTAGGCCTAACGTTTCTTAATGCCACCGGCTGAAACAAAAAATAAAGCAAGTAAATCTCGATTTTTAAACAGCTGTTTCTGCACATGTAGCCTGTTTATAAGAGCAGTATTCAGTAGTTACAAAACATTACATTAACGCCACTCTCTCCCGATGACTCCAAACATCAGTGACAGTAGCTGCTGGAGTTTCTTTCTGTAAGTTTCATGTTGCTGTGCTGCTTCAGCAAATGCTTCAATAAATCAGATGTAGAAATGTTCATGATTGAAAGTATTTTGCTGGTCGCACAGTTTACAATAGACGACAATGTTCTTTGCATCTTAGACTGTGACACAATAATGGCAGCAGCTGCTTACAGCTGTGGAAAGAATGCCTCTCTCTCTCATTCTCCATTCTTCCTTTAGTGTTTGGCTATCAGCGGACATGAACACCAAAGTCCGGTCCAGCTGAGCTGTCGCACAGTCGTGGATTTACGTTACTTGCCTTAATAACTTGTAATAATATTACCGTTTTAGAAAAGTAACTGCCTGAAAACAGCTCGTTTGTAGTCCAGCCGTTTCCCTTTCATCCCTGTGACGACACAAGGATGAAAGGAAATGCGTGTCATAACGCTCACAAAGCTGCTAGTCCGACACCCTCAAAAACATCTGGTGACAAGACGTCCACCTGCTGACTCTCCTCTCCCTTCCAAACACTAGCTACCCTCCAGGCTGTCAGTGGACATAAAGTTGTTCCTGTGATGTAGAGACAGAGCTCAGTTAAAACTTTATGGATGAAAGATACTTTTGTTACAGATTAATAACTCACCACTCTGAAACTTGCTCCAATCCATGTTGCCAAGCTGGTCGGCAACATATACTGCTGAACCAAAGCTATTTACCGGCTTCTCGCTGACCCGCCCTTCTCTGTTTCTGATTGGCTAGTAGTCCTTAACTAGGAACTGTGCATGTGCAACTCCCAACAAAGATCATGTAGAGGTGAGATGCATTACTCCATAGCTAAAACGAAGCGTTCAACAAACAGGGTGAAAAGAGGAGCTGCAGCAATGTGCAGTATGACAAAAAGTGGTTCTGGTACAACCCCTAAATAAGATTTTAAACCTGAAAATGAGCATAATATGACCTCTTTAAATAAAATTAAATTCCTATAGTGAGTTGATAGACTACTAATTCAGTGTCCTGCAGCTTTAAATGTGGATATGCCGACACATAGCTGCTGCAGCTGAAAGAATAAGGCTAAAATTGTCATACACACCATAAGATTACATCTAAGCATCGTATTTATTTAATGGAATAATCAAATGTAATTATAGACAGATCTCTTTGTGCCTTGTGTAATTAAAATTGCAAGCAATGATGAACAGGCCCTAACAGCATAAGACGTGTCGGGGCATACCACTCGACATTTCAGCCAATGCGGCTTTTAATTGTCATGCACTTTGTATACTGCATGGGGGACTTAAACGTCAGAATCTGGTTGGCGGTTGAAGCAA